ATAATATACTTTAAAAAAGTTAGGATCTGTTTGGTTTGCGTTTCAAAAAATAGTATTCGAAAATAGTTTTTGATAAACGTTTTTAAAAAAGGTTTTTAAAAAATTTTAGATTGCAAAAACTGTTTGATTATATATTTTTAAAAATAATTTTAAAAAACAAAAAATTGAAAACTTATTTGGACAATTATTCACAAACCCCCCCAATTTTCATTTCTATTCACTATCTTTCTCGTCTCTCCATCTTTCTCTTTTTCTCCATTTTCTCCTTTCAATCTTCACCCACATAACACAAACCCACACAACATACACAGTCATTTGCCAGAGAAGATGAGACACAGACCAAACAAGACACAGACCAAATGAGACACAGACGATTAAAGCAAATCTGAAGCAACGCAGATCGAGCAACTCAAATATGAAGCAACCCAAATCGATACACAGTCGTTAGAGTTGCTTCGATTCCTCGGAGTTCCTTCACTTTGATACACAGTCGACGAAGTTGCTTCGATTTGTCGGAGTTCCTTCGCATTCATTGAAGGAGTCCATCGGGCTCGAGAAGACAAGCCTCTGTGTGTGTTCGTTTTGAAGCACAGTGGAGAGAGAGGAGAGATAGGCAAAGTGGAGACGCACACAGTGAGTGAGGCGGTGGAGGGAGCTCAGTGAAGGGGTGGAGGCAGTCTCTCTTTTTGTCTCCAACGAAACTCGAAGGGGAGACTTCATTAATTGGGAGATAGGTTGTTTCCCTTGTTTTCAATTTGCCTTAGAAAATAATTAGAACATCATTTTGTTGTTCTCTAAAATCACATTTCATTTCTCAAAATTTTCAAAAAATTAGAAAACAAAAAAGTTAAACAAACAACGTCTCCTTGTTTTTAGAATTTTGAGAACAAAAAATAGTTTTTGAAAACTAAACCAAAGAGGCCCTTACTATTTAGATGATTTCGTCTTCTATTTTAGCGAAAAAGTACCAAACACTCTATTTTGTACGAAACCTTACCATTTTGAATAGAGTAATTTTATTTAAATCTGAAAATTTTATTTAAATTGCTGATTTAATGGTAGTTTCATTGAAATTATTACATCAATACCAAATCATAATGAATTAAATTAACAAATTAAGTTAATAAATTAGATCTCAATAACAATACTCTTTCAAATATACAACACTTTTTTTGTTTCGAAAGATTAAAATTTAGAAACGTTGCATATCATAAGAAAAAACGAAAATTAAATTTTTGCTCTCACGTCAATTATTACTCGTCGCCTCTTAGAGAGAGAGAACTCCCCAAAATTTGGTACTTTTATGGTAAAATCGTTAATGTACACGTGCGTTGTACGTGAATAATTTTCAATAAATTCACGTGTTGTTTTGAAAAATTTATGATAATTCTCTGAATATATTTCTTACTATGGGGAGTCTACTCATTGTCGATAATGAACATATGGAATCCAATCAAATTGTTTGATATTATGTTAGTTACTCAAACAATTATCTTATGTTTATATTTAATAAGATAAATATGAAACAAAATTAAAGCAACTTTTAATTTAAGAATCTAGCTAAGAATGGTACAACCTAAACATAAAAAACAAGAATTAGAGAAACATTAGGAGTTTTAAAACCGAAAGAAATCATAGATATGACCACCAAGATCCAGACCTCTTAGAATGAAGCATGATGTTGGGAAACCCTAAATGAGAGATAAACAATCATTTTGATATATACATGATCTCCGTTCTTAGTCAATGAACGTTCCTCTAAAATAATAGGGTCTAGAAAAACCCTGCACTTATCTTTTTTAAGAAGAGTGTAAACTAAGACCCTAAACTTATCGTGTTAGTTTACAGTAAATAATTTTTTGTTAGCCCTTATTTACAGAAGAAAGAACAATGTTATTGAGACATAATTTACTAACTTAATTCATTGATTTAATTCATTATGACATTTGGGTTGACTGTAATCCCCATCAAATATTTAGACTTGATATTAATCTAATAATTTCAATGAACCCACATCATTAAATCCAAATAGCATTACTTCCAAATAGCATTACTGTAGAAGAAATAACATTGAATTGAAGGAAACCACAATATATAAAGGTATTTTTTGCAATTCACTTTATGTATACATTGAATGCATTCAACATTAAATTTTAATGTTTGATGGGCCCACAGTGAATCCAAAAATCATAGTGAATTAAGTCAGTAAATTAAGTTCTAATAGTTTACTCTTTATCAATAAGTAATGTCATTTGAACCTAAAAATTTGATATAATTTACTGACCAAATGATGTGGTTTCATTAGAACCATTGAATTAACACAAAATTCTAATGTTTGATAAGACCTGCAATAAATCCAAATGTCATAATAAATTAGGTCAATAAATTAAGTCTTAATAGTATTACTCTTTACCAATTGAATTGATGGATATTAGTAACCTGAGAATTGACATTTTAGTGTCAAAATTTGGATTTGAGAAGTTATGCACGTTAGAAATGACATTATAAAATTATTTAATCAAAAACATTAGACATGTATGGATATTTAGAAATGTTGGAGAGGCAATATAAAAGAAATCAAGATATAGATAATGTTTTTTTCTCTTTATACACTATCTATAATTAATACCCACCCCCGTCACCGCCATTGTATCACTGTCACTACCAGTGTTATTAGAACTGGACTGGACCGGTCGGTTGGACCGATTCAACCGTGAACCGTGACCCTAACCGGTCCGATTCTTTAGTTGAATCGCTTAAAGAAGTGAACCGGCTAAAAACCGAAAAATCGGCCGATTTTTAACAAAAACCGTAAATCGCCGGTTTTATAAAAATTGGACGGTTTAATGCCTATTTAAAAATTAAATTACATAAATAAATTTTTTTGCCCTAAATCAATAAATAGCTGATTTTTTTTAACCTTATTCTTGGATAAATTATAAATGACACCCTTTCTTTTTCTTTATAATTTACTTGAATCTCTTTACTTTGCTTTAAAATACAATAATCCCCACTTTGTTACTTAATTTCATTAATTTTATGGCAAATTTTATGTATTTTATACATATTTTATATTTTTTTTAGCTAAATTATTAAGTTTTATAATTATTATATATATATATTTTTATTTTTTTATTATATGACCGATCCGACCAATTGATCAAACGGTTGAACCAGTGAACTATTGACCCGGTCCCCTTGCTGGTTCAATGACCGATCAAGTTCGTATAACATTGGTCATTACTATTCTAGCTGTTCAATACCCATCGTCATCGATACCACCACATACTATTACCACCATTGTGATGGTGGTGGTAAAAATAATGTAGTTGTGGTAAGATAGTTAAAGAGAAGGAAAAAATTAGAATAATAATAATTTTTAGATTTTAAGTTTTTATATTTGTCAAACAGTTTGATTCAATTCAATATTTAAATTTCAGTAAATACCAAACAGTCTATAAATTAAAAAAATTCAACATTTAATACTTAAAATTCAGTATTTAATTTTCGGTATTCAACTTTCAGTTTTATCAAACATCACCGTAATCTTGCTCTTATTTATGATGGCTTAACTGTTTTGAAAACCCAATCGAATCAACCGAACTATTGGCACGAATTTAAGTTTTCCAATACATTTGAGTTTGGTACATAATTAGGGTATTTTAGCAGAAGTTTTTGAAGAGTTTAAAGATATTATGCCATCAGAGCTAGAAGAGCTGAGAAGACAATTGAGGGAGTTGTTGGATGCCGGATTTCTTCAGCCGTCAAAGTCCCCATATGGTGTACTGGTGCTATTTCAAAAAAAAACACGATGGAAGTCTTTGACTTTCTGGTAATGTTTTTTGGCTTGACCAATGCCCCAGAAACATTTTACACCCTGATGAACAGTTGTTCCACCCCTACTTGGACCTGTTTGTGGTGGTAGATATTGATGATACTATGGTCTATAGTGGGACGCTTGAAGAGCACGTGGAACAAAACAAGATCATTTCGTTCCATTTTTAGTAAAATAGTGAGGATATTCCATTAGTAATGAAAAAAAAAAGGGTTGAGGGGATTCATATATATTGTTCAAGTCGATTAGAAGGCACAAAAATAGGTAGAACTGAATGCAAAAAGTATGGAAAAATATATTGTAATGTCTTTCACCTGAAAATCGATTATGCTCATGTGGAAGTATCAAATGATTTATAAAAATTGAAACTAGATTGGGAAAATATTTAAAAATGCAGACTGACAGCATGAGGCATCCACTAGTTTGCCTGTGAAAGCCAGCATTATAAAATTGAAGATTTTGTTGTTCATTTTCATGATAATATGTATAGACTATGATAATATATATAGACTTATAGGACATGTTTAGTTGGAGTGTGGTAAATAAGATGGCAAATTTGATTGCAATCCAATCCAATCCAATGGGGAAAGATAAAGTGGTATAATATTTGAATCAAGATTTAGATAAACTGTGAGTTTATTATCGTAATATATTGCATTAACTTTTTAAAAATAAAAGCACTCTATATCTATGCATGACTCTCTCACTCGCATAGAGGAGGACTTTAGTCATGCTTGGATATTAATACAAGTCAACCCTCATTTATTAACACCTATTATTTGGATATTATGTCTATGTTGTAAGATTACAAGTATCAGTGAGATAATAAGAAATTCATTAAAATCAAGTTGTATAAAATGATTCAAACTTGTAATCAAACGTCTGGCTGATTTATTCGGTCCAAATTAATTTTTTAATATCTGAACCAAACATAGTCTTAGTGGATGTTTACAGTTCTACACCTAAATAGCAAAATGGATAAGTAATTAATTCGACGTAAAATTGATTAATTATTTTACAAATGACGCATATAAGGAAACAAGTAATTAATCTTCTCTCCATATTATAAACCTTACAACCAAATGACATTATAAAAGAAGATAGCAATTTCTTCTAGCCCATGAGAGAATTAGAAGTAGAACAAGAGTTACATTAAAAAAAAGAAATGGAGATGAGCTCAAGATTGGCTTTTCCAATGGCTTTTTTCTTAGTGTTATTGTTGGTATGGGTCAATGAAGTTTGTGGTGAATCCAACACTTTTAATGTGAAGGACTTTGGTGCAATTGCAGACGGAGAAACAGACAATAGCAAGGTGAGTCAACTCTTCAGAAGACTCTTGTTAAACACTACGATTAATTAAAATATTCATGCTATTCACGTAGCATCGGATCGATATTAACAAATGTTTTTATTATTTTTTTTTCATAGGCTTTGTTGAACGCATGGAGCAAAGCATGCCAAGAGAAGGATCAAGGCACGGTTTTGATCCCGTCAGGAACGTTCATGGTGAAAGCGATCACGCTCCAAGGCCCATGCAACGATCAAACAGCGTTTCAGATCGATGGAGTTTTACAAGCTCCTTCTGATCCTTCATTTGGTACTGACCATTGGATTAACTTTAAGAGTATCAATGGTTTGAAAGTCCATGGAAATGGGAAATTGGATGGCCAAGGAGCTTTGGCTTGGTCACAGACCACATGTGGTGGGAATGCCGATTGCAAGATTCCTCCAGTAGTAAGCTCTTTTTTCAATTCTACCATTTTCTTTCTCTTGGAACAGAGAATTGTGTTAATAATATCCGTTAACCACATATACCGATCAAATTCGGATTTTATACATATGGGTATGCGGTGCACTCATTATTAGACCATTGCAACAACTTGTTAGAGCATCTCCAACCCACTCAACAATGGCTATCTTTTAACTATTTTACTGAGCCAATTCAAAAAATTTGTTTTCAACCGGCACTCTATTCCACTGACTATTTTGTCTCCCTCCATTCTCACTCATCATTTCTGGCTAGCAAGACACTCTCTCTACCAATTTTGAAAACTCCTAATAAATTTTGAAACTTCTTCAAATTTTAAAAATTTTCTTAGTTTTATGTATAATAGAATATTTACATTTAGACCCTTAAAAAATATTAATATAAGTATTTGAAAAAATTTTAAATTTATGAGACGTATTGTGCAATTAATTTTTGTTAGTCAAAGTGAATGGTTGTTAAATTGCCATTAAGTTGTATTATTTAAAGTTTAATTAGAATTATTATTATGGTATGATTTTGGTTTGGTTGATGATTATACATGCTTTGAGTTGAATTTTTGAATTATATTATGAAATATTAGTTAAAGTTAGTTGAAATAGTCAGTTAAAATAGAGAGCGTGATTGAAGTGAATTTGGATTGGAGTGAATTTGAAAAAGTGAATAGCTAAAATAATGAATACAATATTTAAATATATTTTAAATAACTATTTTATTGAGCATGATTAGAATTGGTTGCAACACCTTATAAATGTTATGTGACTTTTAATAGCATCTATTGATTTAACATCTCATTTTTTCTCGTCTTATTAGTAAGTTGTTTCAAAATGGAGAATTATTCCAACCACTAATAAATGTTAGCCATAACCATCTATTAGACTTAGGTTGTCGGGGGTAATAAACCTCGTATGTCATCATTAGTTTGACTATAGAACCAAACCATTAAGGTTCATAACATCTTACAGTCCATGACTTTTATACTAGTCATCGATTTAACATCTTATTTTTAACTCTTAAACAGTCGGTAAATTCAATTCTATCACCAATGCATCAATTCAAGGCATAACCTCAGTGAATAGCAAGTTCTTCCACTTTAACATTGGTGACAGTGAGGACATTATTATCTCCCAAGTGAAGATATCAGCACCAGGTAACAGCCGTAACACTGATGGAATCCATGTTAGCAAATCAAAAAACATTCAAATATTGAATTCCAGCATTGCCACCGGAGATGATTGTATATCCATAGGCCCTGGGAATACAATCATTTCCATTTACGGTATTTCATGTGGACCTGGCCATGGAATTAGCATCGGAAGCCTCGGAAGATACCCCGACGAAAAGAATGTCGATGGAATTTGTGTAAGAAACTGTACTTTTAACAACACCAGCAATGGTTTGAGGATCAAAACATGGGCTCCTTCCCCACCCAGCAAAGTTACTGGTGTTACTTTTCAAGACATTGTTATGTACAATACAGGCAATCCTATTATCATTGATCAACAATATTGTCCTGCCAAACCATGCAGTGCCAAGGTATGCCCCTATCAACATTGACTTCCCTACACTACTTATTTTCCAAGGCGGATTTTGGAAGAACATTATGTTTGCTTCATTGGGACCTAAGCTTCAACATTTGAGTCTTAAAAACCTCCTTAGACCACACACTGGTGGTAGACTCGTGCCTTTGCCCACTATTTCGTCATAGGTTATGCTTCACTTAAAATCATGTTATCAAAGTGC